AGCTTAAGCTGACATCGACGTAAATTGAACTTTAATCCTCAAAAAATGGGTTAGGAAGTTCCTTTGTAATCTCTAATTAGATACCACACAGTGTCTCCCATATCTGTTGATGACACTTTTATTGGTCATTTACTAGGAAGCCCTTATCAAGGCTTTAACTGAATATTTAATATACGTTTTAAAGGTGTAACGTTCTGAAACTGAGTGTTGAGATGCAACATAAACGTTAGGGCTACCATTTATTCTTCTATTGTTAAATCAAATGAGAATGCAGGTTATTCTTTTCATTATTAAAACCATCGTTAGTTTTACCGTCTATACTTGTTACCTTTAGCTTAATGCTTCTTTTTAAGCCACTTTTGGTGTTAGGGTACGAAACATACTACCTTGCATTAGAAATAAAGCATATGAAAAACCAGTTGATGTTTGCAGTTTCGAGCAACAGTAACTCTCGTGAAACCAATGTTCACTTATTAAATGGAACTTTAAACATCAAATATGGACCAAACACCTGGTATTACTGTTTATAATTCTTGAAATATTTCATGTGTTCTGTTGACTTGGCATTGTTTCGGCTCATTTATGTTCAATAGTTCTTTAAAAGGAATGGACGGATTTCAGCAAAGTCAGAGATATGGCTTGACAGATCCGATATTTCAATAAATAAAACGAATAATATAGTAAGATATGTCGAGATGCTAATCTCTCCGTGATCGTTTTGTATTTTTAAACTGTGTAGCTGGAATTTGAAGAAATCAGATGACATTTCTGTAAATTATGATAACAATAAGAAATATTTTTGTTGTTTAAAAGGGAACAAAAGTAGACAGTAGTTTGAGAACTTAAATGGACTGCCACTACCTGAAGAAACCTGAAACTACTATAGAAACCGAAACATCATTCTTTTTCATTCAACAGGTAGTTGCAGTCCATTTAAGTTCTCAAATCCGCAAAAGTTTTTTCATTTTAAATTATAAATATCAGTACTATAAATCCCATTATTGTAGAACAATAAAAAAGAAAAAAGATTTTTTTTTACTTTTTTTGTTAAACCCGTTGTTTTTTAAAATTTAAAGTGACGAAAAAAATATCATGTATAATTTTGTATGGATAGTTTTATGAAAGGCATGACATGTTTTGGTGGTTAAGGTGCTCTACTCGCGATATGCAGGACGTGGGTTCGAATTCCATCAGAGAACACGCTCTTTCAGCCGAGGGGGCGTTATAATGTGGCGGCCAATCCCACACTTCGTTAGTAAAGCGTAGCCCAAAAGTTGGTGGTGGGTGATATTGATTAGCTGCTTTCCTTTAGTCTAGCGTTTACAAATTAGAGATAGCTAGCGCAGATAACCCTCATGTAGCTTTATGCGAAATTGAACAAACAATATCGTATTCAATGTGAAGACGAACAACCAATAAATGCCTACTACGTTTGTAACAACACTTATTATATTGTAAAAAATGAAACCCATACAAGATGAAATAACTGCCTGTCAGACTTAAATAAACATAAAGTTCCAATTGTTTTAGAACGTTACATAATGGCACTGACCGTGTAGATGGCGGGCCTGTTGACCAAATGAAAAAACACATACCACAGTGGTACAACTTCTACAAACGCAAACATATTTAACTAAGTTTGATGATGCGTCAGAATTTAAACGGTTATTAAGGCCCATAATTTAGCCCCTTTATCCGGGAACAATTCTTGGTAAAGTGTTTTAAATTTTTAAGACAAGTTTATGTTTCCTGTAAGGTTTCAAATACACAAGGCGTTGTGATTATCGTCTAATTTAGTTTGTGTATATTATAATGTTTTCGTCGGAAACCCACATTTGAACTAACGAATGTAGGATGCAACTGTAGCTAAGTTTTAAAGCAGGAAGCTGTACGATTTGTGACTCAAATTTAGCCCACGGAAACAGACGAATAATCACATGTTATTACAATTACGTTGGAGAGGTTTTTAAACATTGATTTTTTTAACCTTAAAAAAATTGAGTAAAATATATGTTTAGATAAGTTTATTTTTTGTAACTCAATCATAAACAACATCATCGTGGTAGTATAAATCAAATTTGATTAAAGATTTTATGTTGTATAAATATGTATATAGATAGAATATGAAGTAAAAATAAATGTTGAGCACGTGAGGATAAATTTAATCTAGTTAAATGCATTTGGAAGTACAGGTTAACACTGATTCAAAAACAATGAATTGTCCTCTTATCATTTAAATTAGTATTTTCTCAGTAAATATCAGTTAATCTTATTCTTTCGATTTGCTTTTGTTCAGAATTACTGATGAGGGTTGGAATTCCTGAATCTGGTATAACTCTGTGACAAGTGGCACATCGAACGATAGAGTGAGTTTCATATTTATTTTTACCACGTTATCCACGCTAACGTTTTTACATTCTCTTTATTGAAACAAACATCTTTTTTTTTATTGAAGAAAATCGGTGAGCTAGGGTATTTTTCTTACCGACTCCGAAACCAAGTTTAAGAAATTCACTTTTCTTTCCACATGCTTTACATGCTCATTTTTATTATAAAACATTAATTGTAAGTGGCTCTAAACATTCCAACATGACATAGTTTTAATGTGTGTTATGTAAAAAATATATTCTTGACGACTAAATCTTTGGTGACTCTCGGGAATAATGATAGTTGCGGTCCCATCCTTGGAAGTGAACTGTTTAGGTGTTTCCTTCTTTCTGACAGCCAATCCGGGCGCCATAGGGTTTAATTAAGAAATGTTCACCCTGGTCGTATGTTTAGCGTGATTTTTCAAAAGAAACTAGCCGTTATGACTAATTTTTAGAATATGGAAACAGATTCTCTAAAAGAGAGCTAAACTGTCACTCACGAATTTATTTTCTTCACTGAAACTACACGTTTTGTTGAAAAAAAGAAAAATATCACTAATATCAATGAACTACTGACTTAACACTGACAACAAACAAGACAGCTAACTTAGGCTTTTATAAACTATACAACTGATTGAAGTTTGCATGCTTTCTCTTGGTTAAAGCGTTGTTAGGCATGTTTTATCCCGTTTTTAAAATTATAGTGACAACATTAAACGTATCTGTGGTGTGGTTTGGTTATTGTGCAGCACTCTTGATGTACTCAAATATAATTACATATTATTATTAATAGCGGATACTGGGCAAACAGAAAAATATAACTGTCTATCCCATAAACCTTTCCTTTCATTGTACAACCATTGTGCTTTCAACACAACTATTTTCACATCTTGGAGTGGTTTGTTCCTGGGAACTCTAAAAAAATTGTTTGACCTCAAATGGCGTTTTTTAAGTTACAGAAATTGATCGAATAGTAATTTATAAATCTAAAAATATTTTGTTACCTTAAATTAACTCTGCGATATGTATATATACATTTGACAGGCAATGACTCTAACTTCTCGCTTTTCAAATTAAGAAAAATGACCGGCTAGATCTATTGATCGGTAGGGTATATGATATTACATCACAATGAGGTTGATAATAATTATTCGGACATCTTTCTTTTCTGGCCCTGTTGCTATACTTTATAACGAAAACAGAACTTCAGGAAATAAGTTTTACTTCTTTGTCTTTCTACTTTATTAGATAATCTAGTTACCTTCCTACAAGTGGAAAATGTGAATAGTAGTTTTATAATTGAGATGTTGTGAAGTTTAGCATTCATATTTGGTCCTTCCTTTAAGGAGTTTTATTTTTGGTTCGTTTCGTTTCACACGAGAAGTTTGCAAACAGTGGATAAATATATCAAACTGTATATGTCCAGCACTTTATGTGTCTTACATCTTCAGGTACCTCTTTTTATTAAATTGCATTTTGCAAGGAGGGGATAAATCTGTCAAACGTTATATGGATCCTACGTCTTCGGGTACCTCTCTTATAAGGATACATTTTATGATTCTTTCTTATGACCTCATGGCCAGGTGGATAAGTCGCTCGACTCGCAATCTGAGGGTCGCGGGTTCGAATCCCCGTCCCACCAAACATGCTCGCCCTTTCAGCCGTGGGGGCGTTATAACGTGACGGT